ATGGTCATTATCCCCATTATCTCCACACACACCATTGTCATCAACATCACCATAATGTCAAGCATCACTGTTATCATTGATATCACCATAATGTCAAGCATCACTGTTGTCATAGGGACCATTGCCACCTTCATCCCCATTGTTGTAGTCATCGTCTTGGTCATTGCTTCCATGGTCATCATTCCCGTTCATGGCTAATGGTCTTGCCCAAGCATGGAAGGGATCATCCAGGTAGGGATTTGCCCACGGACTGACCAGCCTGCCATTATTAGTAAAGGGGTGGCAACACCCACAGAAAAATCACACTCTGTGGCATCGCAGTCTATGGCTCACCTATTTTTAATTCTTTGGATGGCCCAGGCTGCAGACATAGCAGATTCTAACTGAAGGATTTGGGGTCTCTGTGAACAGGATAAGGACTTAACTCTGCCTCAGAGTAATCCAGACACCAGAGAAGCCTGATAGAAGCCAAAATGCTCCTTGAGTGTATACGAATAACCCAGATGGCAAATCCCTCTCTAGGTCTGAACAGGGACACATTGAGAGATACTCACCTCAGTATGACACATACCAAAGATTGACTGGCTGCAGCTGCATAATCAAGTCATCACACAGAGCCTGAGGAAGGTCGTTTTCCTTTCCCTATCTATATGAAGTCTGAGATAGTTGTCTGGGCCACTGAGAAGGCAAGGAATTTCCCCAGGTCATACAACCAGTATGTTTTAGGACTTAGACTCTAGTCATCCTACCTTTCAAGGCCAACCTATCCATTATGTCATCCTCCCTCACTAAAATTATCTGTGCAGATACGTACACACATACACAATGTATACATGCATACACATACACAGATATGAATAGAGAGATCCCTTTAGGTTTCCCTCTGAGGTCCCAAAGGGCCGGTTGATTGACCTCCCAAGTTACCTCTTTGCACCTGGCTGTTTCCCACATGACTCACAGGCAAGTGCTACTCCGATGTCCTGAGGTTTGGGAAGCAGTGAGCTTTCACTGCATGGAAACCCAGAGGGGCTAGTGTCGGTACCATCATTAGAAATCTTAAAAACAAATGCTTCACTGTGTGTGTGAAAATACCCTTAGTAAAATATTCCTTGTCATGCTTCAGAAAGTTGATGAGAACACATTTCCTGTTGTTCCCAGGCTGCCCCAGAGTACAAACAAGTCAAATAGCAGTGGGAGAGAAATGGAATCTCCAGATTTTGCCCTGCTCTTTTTTTTTTCTTTAAGTGTGTTATATTTGTGTCTTCACCTTTAGAATGAATCTCCCACTGACTGGTGTTTTAAGATTGTTTATAAAGTGATTGGTAAAAATGAACTCTGGTGTCCTCGGATGAGTGGGGTTGGTGGTTGTGATCTCCAGCAGCAGCTTTTCAAATGAGGAAGAGGGAGTCACAAGACTTTGGCTCAAATCTTAGCTTGGCCAGCCCCAAGCATATGACTCTAGACAAGTCTCTTATTAGCAATGGAACCATCTTCATCCCAAGTTAAGAAGTCAATAAACATTAATTAAGCACTTGCTATGTGCCAGGCACTGTAATAAGTGCTGAGAATATAAATACTAGCAGAAAAAAGGAAGGTCAGTCCCTGTCCTCGAGGCGTTTACATTCTAATGAGGGAAGACAGCACATAAAAGGAGCTGAAAGGGGGACAGAGTGAAAGGGAGTGTGGGGCATTGTAGAGAATGCCCAGAATGTTATGAGTGAAACCTGGAGAGGACTGAAGGCATAGCCAGCCTGGGCTTTCGCTTTAAAAACGGAGTTTCTAGAAGGAACTAGCAAATGAGAAGAAGGGGCCACAGGAAAGAAAACTTTCAGTGTGAAAAATCCATGAGTGGAATAAACTTCCTCCCTCTCTCCCTGTCTTTTTCCTTCCCTTCTTTCCTTCCTTCCTCTCTCCTTTCTTCGCTCCCTTCCTCCCCCTTCCCCCTTCACACTTCCTTCCTCCTTCCCTCTTTCTTTTCTCCCTTCTTTTTCTCTTCCTCCCTTCTTCCCTTTCCTTCCCTTCCTTCTTCCCTTTTCCCTCCCTCCCTTTGTTCCTTCCTCCCTCTCTCCCTTTGTTTCTCCCACCCTTCCTTACTCATTCCCTTTCTTTTTAATGTTCTTCTTTCCTACCATCCTATCTTCCATAAAAATCTCTTGAGTTGAATTCATTGAAATGGGTTGAAAACTCTTGTTATTGTTTTGCTTAGAGAATTTCACCTTGCAAGAAGTCCAGCATTCATCTAGCCACCATCTTCCTCATTCCTGCCTCAGTCACTGCCAGCTTCAGTCGCCTACCTTATCTGGTATTGAGGGGGTTTGTTGTTAGAACTTTGATTTTCTTGGCAGAGAGGTTTTGGTTTGGTTTCTAGGTAAGGGAACTCACTCTTCTGACCTTAAAGGCTCAGAACATTTCCTGGAGCACCAAGAGGTCTAGTAACTTGCTCAGAGTCAATCTTACAGCCAAGATGTATCCACAACAGGGCTTAGATCCTGGTCTCTTGGTTCCAGGGTCCTCTCTCTCTCTCTCTCTCCACTCTGCCATGTTGCCTCTTAGGTTTTCTATAGTCCATATGAATTTGGGGGTTCAAAGCAGGAGACAGAAATCCAGGAAGGCTCTCAGATGATTGAGCAATGCTCAGTTTGAGGCTAATTACATGAACTAATTTCTAGTCCCATCCATGTCTCAAAAGCATGGGGATAAGCATGGGGGTGGGGAAACTGGTGGCAATAAAATGAAACAGGTTTTTCCTTTTTAATTGCATGATAAAAATTAACTATTTTCAAACCTGGCTGACCATGCCCCTGTGGGCCACAGCAGGCACTGAGTGCTGAGTTAATTTAATAACAGAATGAGTAAGTGAAATGGAAGCAACCTGGAGATGAGGAAATGACTGTGTGTTAGGAAGGTGGTAAAAGAAACAGGGTATGTTACAGGAAGACACAAAATCCATCACATTTTCTGATGTTTTCTTAAGCATGAGGTGGTCTTTGAGCCTTGTGATCTACCTTCCTTTTGTCTTCCCACACCCTGCAGATAGAGTGTTCCCCTAGCACCTCAGATGGGGTTTACTACATCCCAGACATGTGGAAGGGAACAAATAAGTTGATTAGAGTCTTTCTTTCTAAAGTGATATCAAAGAATTCCAAAGGAAGACATCTTGAAAAATGTGCTACCATTGGCATGTCATTTGAGAGCCTCCAACTGCACTTTGGTGGTTTAATGAAGGTATTTCTCACAAAACTCATGGCAGCCCCCGCTGGCAACACAGTTGTTCTGCCGATGAGCCCAGAAATGAGTTGCCTAAGGCCACCTTGCTGGCTGGTGAACGTGCCAAGAGCAGACGTGTGTCCCAGCTGCTGTCTGGGACTTGCTTTATTGCCTAAAGAACCAGATTTCTATGGATCACACAAAGACCTAGGAGAGGCAGGGTGGCAGAGTGGGAAGGATGCTGGACTTGGTGTTGAGTTGCCTCTTCTATTTACAAACTATATAACCCTGGATAGGTCACTTCACTCCTTGATTCTTATTTCTTTGTCTATAAAACGCAGGTGATGGATCCTAGATCCCAGAACTAGAGCTAAAAGACACCTTAGTGGATGTCTAGTCCAATCTCCTCATTCTACAGGTGAGGAAACTGAGGCTGACTCACAACTAACTTGTTAGTGGTAACTTGTTGAGGCTAACAAGCAACTAACGCTCATGGTCAGAGAAATAGCATTCATCAGAGATAGAATCTGTATCTCTGACTTTGGAGGCAGTAGATAGAGAGCCTACAGGAACTTCAGAGGGCATATGATCCAGCTAGATCATTTTGTAGCTAGGGAAACTGAGGCCCAGGTAGGACCTGTAGTCTTTACTACCAAGCACTGTAGTGAAGCTCAGATGGGATGTGTTTAAAGTGCCTTGAAATGTGTGAAGTTGCAGGGTAGAGTCAGAAGCCAAACCCAACCAAACCAGCCCCCTCTGCACTTGACTTCAGGAGCCAATGATTCCACTTGCATTTGATTTCCACTTCTGACCTTCCTGGCTGTGTGACCTTGGGCAACCTCCTCACCTTTCAGAGCCTGAAGTACACCATTTGTAAAATGGGAATGATAGCTTTTAATTTACAAGGCTGTTGTAAAGACTAAATGAGATCTTAATGTGAGTTATTGTTATCATTATCACTGATATTAAGCCTAAATTTTAATATCTGTGGCTTTCGCCAGTTGTCCTAGTTTTGTTCTCTGGGGCTAAGCAGCATCTCTGTAATCCCTCTTCCATGTGACAGCTCCTTAATCAGTCAATCTGTCAGCAAGCACTTATTAACTCCCTACTGTAGTATGCCAGCCACTCTACTAGGTGCTAGGGACAGGAGGAAAAATCAAAACAACCACTTGCGAAGCCTAATGGGGAAGATAACATGCAAATAGGGACAATCTGCAGAGGAAAGCATTAGCCTTGGAGGGAATCAGGAAGAGCTTCTTGCAGGAGGTTTGATTTTAGCTGAGACTTGAAGTACACTAGGGAAGCCTGGAGATGGAGATGGGGGTTGAGTTCCAGGGAAGGGGGACAGTCAGTAAAATGCATGGCATTGGGAGATGGATTAGCCTGTGCTAGAAAAGCAAGGAAGCCAGGGTCACTGGATCGCAGAGTACATTGAGGTGGGGGGAGAAGGGAGGAATAATGCGTGAGAAGCCTGGAAAGGAAGGTGGCTAGGTTGTGAAGGGCTTTTAATACCTTAAAAATCCTTTAAAAAGAGGATTTTGTATGTGAGTTCTCTGGTTCAGACCCTGGTTCCACCTCAAAAGAAGACATCCCTGAGTTTAGAACTATCAGCTGCTGATGCTGTTGTGCTCACCCTCAGTCTCGGTCTTCCCAACTTTATGTTTGGTGGAGCTAAGGAAAAAGCCCACTACTACTAGTAACATGTCCTTCTTCTCATATTTTTGACAGAGCTCATATGGAAATAGTTCTAGGTCATGGCACTATCCCACTCTGCTCTTTTTTTATGTTCCGAGGATTCTGTGTAGGAGGACCAAATGGTGGCTTTTGTGTAGCGGCCCCTCCCGGGCTACTTTCCCCAACTTCAAACCCCTCCGGCTGGACAGGACCACTCCAGGATCGAGGTACGCTATGAATACTCATGGTTAATTTGCCTTTAATAACCAGATGACAAAATTAGCTCGAAGCAAAGACATTTGTTGTAGTAACATAGCATGAATAATAGTAATAAAGCATCCCTTTCGGAAACCTGGGGTGCACTCTACCCCAAATACACACAGCACCTACAGGAAGAGTCAGCCCATGCACGGAGAGACACACATACAAAAGAGATACAGCTGAGATGACCCCCTCCTCTAACTACAGGGCTCTGAAATCCTTTCCCTTCTCATGGTGTCTAGGGTGCAGCATCCCTGATGGGTAGTTTATTCAGCAGGGTGTTCTGGGTCTGTTCATCTCTGCTGCTCAACTCCTATGGCCGAGGCTGGCTCATGCTCCAGATTTTCACACTCCTCAGAGGTGTTTCCTGCTTCCCTAGACATCCCCTAGAGGATGTCTTTTGATTTTTGAAGGGACCCCAAAGGCATGGCTGCTCCTTCAGGCAGCCAATGGCTCACCCCATTAATCCCAAGTTTGACTAAAGAACTTTGCACCTCTCAAAGAGTTAACAAAGTGTAAATACTTCTTTATACTTTTTTGAAGACTTTGTTTCATTGCTCCCCCCCCCCCTTTAGGTTCCTTTAATTTCACCAACTGAGCCGGGGGGATGTTAATTAGTCACACTCATCTTGGTCATCTCCCTTACTATCCTTGTAATTGAATATAACTTTGGGAATCTCAGCTCACTTTCTGTAGGATCTCTGAAGGCATCTCTGCTATAACTGCAGTAGCACAAGAATGACCAGGATGACATGACCCTGTTCCCACAGAGTTTTTATTCTTATGATCTAATAATAAAATTATTATCAATAACAAGAATCAAATCCTTTCTCTGCTACTTACTAGCCATAAGACTTTAAGCAAATGCCAACCTCTCTGAACTTCAACTTCCTCATCCATAAGATATGGGGAAAGTCACACTTGTATAGTCATATCACAAGGTAATTGCAGGAGAAAAGCCACATTAGCAAAGTGCTATTATTTGTATCTCATCTGGTTTGTTGATCGACTTTTCTAGGGTCATGGGATCATAGATTCAGAGATGGATGTAAGCTTAGAAGGTGTCTTGTCCATTCCTCTAATTTGACAGATGGGAAAACTGAGACCCAGAGAACCAAGTGACTTACTGGACATTGCACACCAAATAAGGGGCCCTCTAATTCCATATTCAAGGCTTCTTCCACTGTACCTTCTTGGCCCCCAACCCTTTTTTGGCAACATGGCATTATAAAGCCTTTGCACCTCTCACACCCACCTCCAGACAACTGTGTCAGCTCCAGTGATGACTGGTGACATCTGTGCCTTTGCTCTGACTTGGTCCCTTGCCCCATGCTGAGAGCTGCCATGTCAACATGCAAATGCTGGCAATACTTCTATTCATCACCAGGTGGAGCCACTGCCACTAGTCTGATGCCCAAAACTAGTCACAATAAGGACCAGGGCCAGCGATATCCCTTCCTCATGTGGGCAGTTGTGTGCTGTGCCCAACACCAAGGGTTTCCTCTGTTTTCCTTCTCCCCCACTCCAATGCTTATCTGATGCTGCCAGAGCAATCTGTTTAAAGCCCCAGGACAGTCTCCTGATTAAAAAAAAAAGTTCACTGTTGCATTCAACGCCCTCCACAACTTCACTTTAGCCCATCTCTTTTTTTTTTTTTGGCTAGGCAATGGGGTTAAGTGACTTGCCCAGGGCCACATAGCTAGTAAGTGTCAAGTGTCTGAGGCCAGATTTGAGCTCAGGTCCTCCTGACTCCAGGGCTGGTGCTCTATCCACTGTACCACCTAGCTGCCCCTTCAACCCATCTTTTGCAGCCTGTACTTTCTGGTATGGGGAAGTTGGTTTCAGACCTTTGACTTCACCTCTGTAGGAAACCCTCAGTACAGAAACTCCATCAACTAGTACAGGTTAGCAACTCCCTTGCAACGTGTGGCCTCAGAGAGTTGCCTGGGACAGTGAGAGGATTTGACCTGCCCCTGGTCCCAAAGCTAGTATGTGCCAGGGGGAAGGAGTGAACCCAAGTCTTTACTGACTCAGTGCCTGGCTCTCTATCAATTACACCACCTCACCTTTCCTTTGCAATCTTATCTCCAACCAATGTTCCATTTATTGGACCTCTCTGTGCTTTTGCTCTTGACTTGTTTATTTCTAGAATTACTTTCCTTACTCTACCCCTACCCCCACCTTCTCCACCTGTTGAAAGTCCAACTCAAAGCCCAACTTCAATCTCAGATCCTACATGAACTTTTGCAGGATTTTCTTCCTTACCTCTCATCCCCAATTTGGAAATATTTTTCCCTCCTCTGACCTCTAGGGGTGGTTTTTTATGCCTCTCTTATCCACTTGGTTTGTATGAAGATTACTGTTCTAGAGCTTGGAGGCTCCTCTAGGCTATTTGGTCCAACTCTTTAGGGAGGAGAAAACTGAGGACCAGGGGGTTAAAGTAACTTTTCCAGGCTCACCCATGCAGCTTAATGGCAGAAGTGGGGTTTGAACTCAGGTCCTTGGACTCTTTCCGCAGATGCCCATCCAGGCACATTTTATGAAAACCCAGAAAAGGACATCCACAGATGAGGAAGCATGAGCTCCTCACAATGCCCACCTTTGGAGGGAGGGTCCACATTGAGGAAAACCCCATGGAAAGATGCAAGACATGCCTTCACTCTCTATCCCAGGGTTGCTATGTGAATTCAGTGGCTGTAAGCAAGCATGCAAAGCTCTTTGTGAACACTAAAGCACTATGGGATCATTGTTGGGATCATAAGCTCCCTGAAGAAAAGGCCTGGATCTTGTTCATCTTTGCATCCACTTCCATGCTCACCATAATGCTGTGCGTAGAGTAGATGCTTAACAAATATTTTATTAATGAATGATCGCAGGAAACTGAGGACTAGAGGCAAATCCTTTTTATTAGCTAAGCTGACATCTTGAATTTCCTACTTCTAATGGACTTGAAAATAAACACAAATATAGGAGAACTAACACCAACATGCTAGTAGATATAAATATGCGTTAGTGCCACGAGATGTGATCATAATGAAAGGCTTGAATTGAGCAGGTTTTCCAGAGAGAGGGAAATAGGGAGAGTAAGAATGACACTATAGTGTTTTTATTTTCTTTTTTTTCCCAACCTCATTCTCTGTTGGCTTAAATCCAGCTTGGGCTTGATCTGTCAAGATTGATTAGGCATGCTTTTTTACTCAACCATACTGAATATTTCAGCTCCTACCCAGAAACCTTTCTGCTATGATGGTAATATTTCTGTTCTGGTAACATATTTGCTACTGAACCAGTCATCCAATGCTGCAGCCCCTCATGGGCTGCAATGGAGACTTTCCTTAAAATACTGCACACACGAATATTCAGTTGGCCGCGGTGTGATTGTGCCATATAGTTGGGAATTTGGGGAGAAAAGTCACTCTGAGGCTCAAAATTTTGACCCAGTCATCCTGTGACAGAGAGGTCAAAAGGCAGAGGGGACTATCCCACGCATATCAAAAAACAAGTGTTTATTAGAGGATTCTGCTGTGGTGGCACAGGGCTAAATGCCATGGATACAAACTAAAACCCCAAAAGTTCCAATCCTCAAAGAACAGATATTCTTTTGAGAGAGACTACATAGAAATATGTACAGAGTACACTGAAAGGAGTCTGGGAAGGGAAGCCGCAAGTGTTTGGAAGGAAGGAGAAAGACCTATTACAAGAGGTGGCATGTGAGTCAACTCTTGAAAAAAGGCAAAGTATTCATTGTAGAACTTTTTATGGCAACAAAAACGGAGGAAGGGAGTGGGTGCCCATTGACTGGGGAATGACCGAACAAATTGTGACATATGAATGTAACAGAATATTGTATTGCAAAAAAAAAAATGGAAGCTATAAGGAATTCAAAGAAAGATGGGAAGACTTGCATGAGTTGATGCAGAGCAAGGGAAAGCAGAACCAGTAGATCTATATAGACAATGGCTAGAATAATTTAAATGAAAACATTGAAAGATAGCTGAGCTCAGATTAATTGCAATGACTGATATTAGTTCTAGAAAACTAGGGATGAAAACACAGTTTCCTCCTTTCAAAGAGATAGAGGACTAGGGCTACAGATATGCTGTCAGTTAATGTTATTGTGTGGGTTGAATATTTTTCTTTGGGAGATAGGGTTGTTTCTTCTTAGGCTCCTTTGCTGTATCATCATTTGTATCCAAAGCTCTGTCCTAAGACTTTTCCCCTTTTCTCTTTATACATCTTCATATTGTGATCTCAACAGTTTTCATATGTCAAATCGTCATTTCCAGGAAGATGATTTTCAGATTAACATTTCCAGCCCTAATCTCTCTCATGAGCTCCAGACCCACTTAATCTACTGTCTCCCCCAGAATAATGGCTAGATGTTTCCAGGCATCTTGAACTCAATAATAACACTGAAATGGAATTCAATTTTGCTGACTTGTCCCTGACCCATTCGTCTTTCTAACTTCCTTTGTCCTTTTGAAGCTGCCACTCTCCTTCTAGTGCTCTGGGTTTGTAAGCTCAGAGTTATCCTCACTTCACCATTCTCCTTCTGCATTACCATTCAGTGGGTCGGTCTTGTGGCTCACCCCTCCAGAGTAATACTTTCATCCGTATCTTGTCTCTATTCATTTGGCCACCACCTTAGTTAAGACTCTGTTCATTGCCTCTTCCCTGGACTGCGGCGATAGCTTCCTAGTTCGCCTCTCTGCCTCCAGTCTTTCCCCTTCCAATCCATCCCCTAGACACTGGCAAAGCGATTTTCCTAAAAAGAAAGCCTGGCCATAGCACCTGCTTCTCAAGAAAACTCAATGGCATCCTCAATGGCATCTAAGACAAAATACAAACTCCTCTGGGTGTCGTTTAGAGCTCTTCACTATTGGCCTCCAATGTAACTTTCCAGATTGATCTAATGTGACTTCCCCTCATGCAGTCTACCATGCAGGCAAACTGTTCTTACTGAAAA